TATACATGAGTACATATATACATAAATGATGTCAACTGTTGATATGTAATTGTTGAATTTCCAATCTGTTGATTGAACAATTGTAGGATTCATGAGTAAGAGCAGATGTATATTATATATATATATATATATATATGTATATATATATATGTATATATGCACTGTGAAACCCCGTTAAGACGATTTCTCAAAAAATAATATACTATTATTTTGTCTAAAAATACGAATAATGAAAGTTACAACATTTATAATAATCTATTTCAAAGCATTTAATATTCCTCGCATATTTCATTACGGTATAGAAAGTTCCAGCAATTTGCCTTAAGGCACGATACCATACACCACTAGTTTATTTATTCAATTGTGTATAAAATGAATCGTGAAAACTCATTCCATTTATAAAAATGTTTTCTGTTTCAGTTTTTGCAATTGTTTGTAAAAGAATTGTATACTAGAGAATAACTGCAATAATATTGGCTTAAATGTTGAGAAGTCTATTTGTCTACCATCTAGATCACTCTGAATTTGATGAATGCTATTATTTATAAAGAAACTTATCCCTAATTCAAGTGTTAATTAACTGAATGTATTTACATGAACGATTATAAAAATATAAATATTGTCCCTGCAAACAGTGCAGACGAAACAAATTTAGGCTGAAACGTATCTGCAGACATTTAGTAATTATACAAATACAAGGTAAAATGTTTTGTTAAATTATTTTATTTTAGAATACATTTTAGATACAATACATAAAAAAATTTATTTCTAAATATCATTTGGTTGTTTTAGTTTGCAGTAGTTCAACAATTTCTTTATATTCTCCTTCAACAGCAAGGTCCATCGGCGTCTTGTTATTGGTATTTGCTACATCAGGATTCGCACCTTTATTCATTAATAGTTGGACGACATTTTTGTGACCATAATAGGTTGCACAGTGCAGTGGTGTCCAATTATATGAATTGCGAATATTTACATTGGCGCCTTTACTAATCAGAAACTGCACTACCTCCAAGTGACCCTTTTGAGATGCTATGTGCAATGGAGTCGAATTTATGTAATCAGCGGCATTTACATTGGCGCCTTTACTAATCAGAAACTGCACTACCTCCAAACGACCTTTTTCAGATGCGATGTGCAATGGAGTCCAATTTGTTTTACTACCGGCATTGATATTGGCGCCTTTACTAATCAGAAACTGCACTACCTCCAAATGACATTTGTGAGATGCGATGTGCAATGGAGTCCAATTTGTGTTATTAGCAGCATTGACATTGGCGCCTTCACTAATCAGAAACTGCACTATCTCCAAGTGACCATAAAGAGATGCGATGTGCAATGGAGTCCAATTTGATTTTGCAACAGCATTGACATTTCCGCCTTTACTAATCAGAAACTGCACTACCTCCAAGTGACCATTTTGAGATGCAACATACAATGCAGTACAATTTTCATTATTAACAGCATTGACATTGGCGCCTTTACTACTCAGAAACTGCACTAACTCCAAATGACCTTTGTTGGATGCGATGTGCAATGGAGTCCAATTTACTTTTTCAACAGCATTGACATTTGCGCCGTTATTAACCAAAAACTGCACTACCTCCAAGTGACCATCTTGAGATGCGATGTGCAATGGAGTCCAATTTGTGTTATTAGCAGCATCGACATTGGCGCCTTTACTAATAAGAAACTGCACTACCTCCAGATGACCATTTTGAGATGCGATGTGCAATGAAGTCGAATTTTGTTTATTAGCAGCATTGACATTGGTGCCTTTACTAATCAGAAACTGCACTACCTCCAAATGACCATTTTCAGATGCAGCATATAATGGCGTCCGTCTTTGATCATCGATAGCTTCAATATTCGCTCCTTTGTCGATCAATAGTTGAACCACATCTATAAATCCATTCATAGCGGCAAAATGGAGCGGCGTCAACTTGTCATCATTTTTGGCATCTATTTTGGCTCCAAGGTTTATCAAGTGTTTAATCCTTGATAATTCTCCATTGTGTGCCGCAACGTGCAGGAGGGACCAGTTTTTATTGGTAATATTGTTTATTTTAGCATTTCTGTCCAATAAAGGTGGAGATACTATTGGTTTATTTTTATCGACTGCAGAATTTGTAGCCTTTTTCTCAGTTATTTTTATTTTTTGCTCCTCACTTTGACCTATGAACAAAATTTATTAAATGCGTAGTAGGTTATCATCAAGGCAAAAATTCAGAACAGGGTTATACTTTTTCTTATTAAACTTAAAATAGAAAACAATATTTTTTACCTGTAACTATTCGAGATGGTCCCGGTTGACTAGATATAGCTACGCTCTTCTTAACTTGGTTGTTGCTTTTGCACTTTCCTGTTTGAATCACCAATATCCTGATCACATCCAGAAATGTTTTACCATCCTTGTTGACGGCATCGCTAATTGCTCCGTTTTTGAGGAGCAAATGTATCAGTCGATCGGAGTTCTTCTTGGCGCCTACGTGCAGGGCAGTATCACCATCATCATTTTGCGCGTTTATATTTATTTTCCACTTTTCCAATAATAGTTCCTGGACTATTTCATACCTGTTCTCTTCTACGGCACAATGCAGAGGTGTATTGTTTTTATTGGTTTTATCCACAATATTTGATGAATGAATACTGCAGAAATTGAGTAGACTTTGGACTTTTGGCAAATCATTATTCCTGATGGCCTGAAAGATATCTTCTTGTTGCACATCTGCAGTAGTCTTTGGCAGATTACTTGCCATTGTAGATAAGAAACTTTTTCATTTACATTCTAACCATTTATATTATTTATTTATCCCTAGACTTCTCACAATTTATTCTTCTCAATTTGACTTTGCACAAGTACACATTCAATTATATATCTAATAAATTTATCGTTATCATATCAGTTGCAAATTGTCGATTGATAAAAGTAATCAAGCCGGTGCTGGCCAACATGCGGCGATAAAAGAATAAAATTATCAGTGGTGGCCAAGGTGTTCTTGTTCTGAAACTAAGTATGTCTTCACTGGATATTTAAAAATATGTAGAAAAGGTATAAAGTTAAAAATACATTTAAGTACAACAATTGATGGATTTTCATAAAATTAATACTGATCATTTTTAACTTCCCTTTTTGTGGTATTTTTGGCTAAGGCAGGTCCCGCCGTTTCGAATATACGGGGCTAAATGTGCAAAAAAGCAGTTTTTGAGACAAGTAAGCATCGGATTCGCATGATTCAAAAAACTTTTTGCTTGTGTTGAGGTAATGATTGTTTTTGGAAAAAAAATCTAAATTGAAAAAAACAATTCAAAAATAAACAAAATATATTTTTCACAAATACTAAATTTGATAAATCACTTACCGCCAGCTTTTTAGGCTAGGAAATGAATATTGTCCATCGCAGAGTTATAATTGGAATGTTTCCGTAGTTAAAAATATTTTAAAATCGATTATTTCAACGGATGGGTGGCAAGTGGGTTGCGAAAGGCGAAAGAGCAACTCTATTTTCCCCAATGGGTATAAATCTATGCGGACTCATTGATTTTATTATAATGGATATATATATATATATATATTATATATATATATATATATTCTGTGCAGTAACTAGGTTCCCGGGTGACCCTGCGCTCCTAGTAACCTGGTATCATGCAGCAGTGATATACGTTTCCATTTATTTTAACCGAAAAAGAATTTGTTCTAGTAAGATTTGCGATGTAAAATGTCATTGATGGAAATATGTGTTGTTAGAGTTTAGCTCAATGCATGGACCTGCCTTGGTAAAAAACAGATATATAATCATATATAACTATTTATTACTAGTAGTTTCATTAAAATAATTATTTGTAGTTGTAAACGTTTTTGTGGACGTTTCAAGCTTTTTTTTTTGAATTTTCTGAATGTGGAGTTTATATTTTCGCCAGGAAATTCGATTAGCTAATTTTATGTTTTGTCGACGTTTCATGTCATTCTGAATCGTTTGGATCATTTTGCATTTATTCCGAAATTGGAAAAATTATCGGTGTGTGAGCCATGATCTGCTATTCTGTCTACATTTTGCTAAAAAAATCAAAATAAAAAAAAATCTAAATTTTTCAAAATTGATTTTTTACCAAAAATTTCAAAATTCTCAAAAATCACATTTTTCAAATATTTTAAAAGCTTTTCTAAAAATTTTATTTTTCGGTACGGTATTAATTATAGTAAATAACATCCTTGCCGCACTCCACTTCCAGTACAATAAATATATACATATATAAATTCTTTTGCTCTGAAGATGTACTCGTAACAATTTCGAAACGAGAGAAAATATCAGTTTGGAACTATTTTGGCAAACTGAATAATATTTTAACTTATATATATATATATATATATATATATATATATATATATATATGTATATAAATACAATGTGTATAGATAAGTATATAAACTGTGGGACTCCCCTTTGTGTATTAACACCCTAACCAGCTCCCTCTACACGCGTAAAAGATAACACGATTTTGCAGGGTTTGCAAACATTTTATTAGAAAAAAACATATATATATATATATATATACATATTAGGGTGGTCCTTAATATGGACATTTTCGAATTTCTTTGCTCCAAATGCTTCCAAATGATTAAAAAATAAATCTCCAACAGTTTTAGCCTTTAATATTAACATTTAGATAGACCGTACTTCAATTAAAAGTTTCATATATTTATTATTAACATATGTCATTGAAAAAATTCTTGCGCCATCTGTGATAGCAGACTTCGTAGTTTTGACAGCAATTTATTACTGATAATTTGAGTGTCTACATCACCAATAAAATAATTATTTTGCTGCAAAATTAATTTTGATGCCATGATAAATAAATATTTCGTTAAATAGCCCACGTGGATTTAATTAAAGGTTAAGTAAATTACAAATATTCTTAATTGTCATAATATTTGAGTTCACAAATCCTATCACAGATGGCGCAAGAATTTACATAATGACATATGTTAATAATAAATATATGAAACTTAATAATAAATATATGAAAGTGCGTTCAATCTAAATGTTAACATCAAGAGCTAAAGTTTTTGGAATCATTCAAATCGGATGCTTAGTTCTCTCAAAAACTGTCATTTTTTGCACATTTCCCCAAATACATCCCCAAAACCGCTGGTCCTGCCTTTGCCAAACAACTAATCACCACTTCTCGAATGTTTTTTAGATCGATTTCTATTTTCTACACTCTTTGCTCTTTATCTACGTAACGGCTGGACCTGTCTTTGCCAAAAATTATTCAGCACATCTCCTTATCAATAAGAATCGAATGTTTTTTGAACCATTCAAATCGGTTGATCTATGCGCCCGAAAACGGTGGATTAAGAATTATATACAACATACATACACACACAATTTTTCTAATGTATGCCAAAATGTTCAAAAACCTCTAAAACGCATATATGAAGATATGCAAAAATTTTTAATTACGATTTTGGACGATTACAATACCTTACCCTACGGGAAGTTAAATATGATGTTGAATTTGGAAAGTAAAATAAATCTTTTGGAAGATGATTAGTATCTTTCTTAACTTTAGAATTTTTTTTTCAATTGGAAATATTACTGCATTTTTTCTATGTTTCAAATTATTTTATTCCTCTACTATTTTAATATTTTTAAAGTTCACTTTAAACTTCTCAAAATTGCAACTTTGTGCTTCCCTGAGTCTTGGTGCCTGTTTTCTAGTTTCTATATCGACTAAAAATATCCACATCACACTATATCCACCATAATATTTGTTTCCCCTAAATTTTTGAAGTAAAACTTCTTTAGTCACGACTAGGGTGTAAATCCGTACAAATGCAACGGAAGTGCGTTACGGCAGAGTCGAGTACCAATGATTCGTCATTCGCTCTCGATGAAATCATTTCTATACTGGTCGATTGTGATTAGTCGTCGTGTATGTGAATAGAGATCTGTCGTTGTATGCGTACCGGCATCAACGTTGTATGCGCACTGATATCAACAAGGTAAATCGGCATAGATAAATAAACATTTCAAAGTTACATCGTAGTACAAATCTTGATTTAATGAAAAATGCCTGAATCAGAAGAATATTTTACCCGGTTCCTTGAAAATAATAAAACAAATTAAACATGCCGTGTGCCGTGTACTAAACGTAAGTTTATTGATTAGAAATTATTTCTATATTATTCGTAGTTTCTATATATCTTTGAAGTTATTAAAATGGAAAATATTTTTTAGGCAAGTCGGATATTACAGCTGTTCAAAGAATGAGATTATATGGCCAGCGAAAAAGTAAAAACAATACAAGCAGTCAATGAATGTATGTTAATTTTAATTACATGAAGTTCTTCAAACACAATTACATGATGAGTGAAGTTGCGAAAACAAAATTTGTTTAGGCGTTGTTTAACATAATCCACTGTGTAAACAAATATAGAATTTATTAAGCAGCAATTACTTCAATTTTCTAATGAAGGTTCATTTCTAAATGCTAATTACAATGACAAACCGACATTGTTTACATTACATTATTGTTTTTGAATATTATACATATTTTTAATGCCATTATAAATATTTAATTTATAATTTATCATTGTATAAATGTGTATAATAGTTGATACTAATAAATGTGTGCATCACGAGTGTCATCATATTAATAATAATCATTATTCAAAATTGTTATATGATGTATTTATTTTTACTTAAAATGCCATCTTGTACAGTAGCAAATAAGTTTTACTTCAATAGCCTGTAAACCTTACTGGCACTCTTTTTTTCCCTTAGATCGTTTCTCCAAAGGTTTTCCTCCCCTGTCCTCACAAACTACCACACATCCACACTTCTCTAGCACGCGCCGTTTGCGCACACACACACTTGTAATCCCTACGTTTCGTACAAAACGTGCCCCCTCTCTCAGGGAAAACATCCCTTGCATTATATTCCGAATTTCGTTTGCCATCCACTCGACAGTCGGTAGCGAGCAGCCGAAGGGGTAGGACCTGTCTTAACTTTCTCAACTTTTTCCAACTTTCAACAATCTAACATCGAAAATTTTTATGAACTTAACTTCTGTCTTGACAACTTCTTCTTGGTAGTAGAAATCTGTGTGTCTTGGTTAAAAAAAATTGGTAAAATTTGGTAAAAAGTGGGAATTTAAGTTTTTAAAAGTGGAAATTGATTTTTTTTAATTTAAAGTAATATTTAAAGGTTATAAATCAAGCAATAAAAATTAAATGAAGCAATAAATAAAAAAGTTGTAGCTGATTGAAGATGAAACTTGTACGCATTCTGGGAACGGACATTGTGGTGCTTAACAACTCCGAAAAAAATTAACAAAAATTTAAAAATTTAGTGTTTAAAATTAAAAAATAATTAATATAATTTATTATAATATTTAACAAGCGCTAGCAACAAATTTTAACAACAACATCAAATTTTAACAACGAAACTTGTACGCATTTTGCAACAAGTGCATCTTTTGTTTAATAAAACCTTAAATTTCAAGTGTAAATGATAAAAACAAAGCAAGTAAATAAATAAATTAATTATTAGCAACAAAAGTAAATATGTATTAGAGTTAAAAACAACATGTTGTTGGGAAAAGTTTGAAAACAACAATAAATTTCTATCATACTAGTACGCACTCTGAAAATTTCAAGAATTAGGCGAACGCACTGGAAATTTCACAAAAAAATTACAAAAAAGCAATAAAAAATTATAACTTTAACAAAATTAAAAAACATATAGTGAAAATACAACAACACTACGTTGACAATAAATTATTTATTAAAAAACTTAGTATGGTAAATTGTTAAATTTATATTTATGAACTTGAATTATTTCACTTATTTATAGTACTATAAATTTATATTTAATATTGTGTAACTGCAAGAATTTAATTTGTTTATAATAATGCAAGTGTCTGCAAGTTAAAAAAAATTATAGACAAAATGAAGATTTACATGAAAACACCAAAATACAGAAACAAACATTATTAAAATTTAATCAAGGAATGTTCATGCATCATTTACAATCTTCAACGTTATCGATTCAATACCAGAATTAGGTCAATATAAAAACTGCCCTACAACAAAACGTGTAAAAACCCTTACAAAATATGATATTTATTTAAACCGATAAATCCCTTATCGATCCAAGATGCCTAAATGTCTAATGGCCAAAAAATTCAAGGCCTACCCTTGGCCAGACAGAGCCGCATCCGTCGACGACGAGGAATACATCGACGTCGTGAGCGTAGACCCGAAATCCGACGCCAATCGAGGGTCGAAAAAATCCCCCCGAAACCAAGTGCGTACAAGATCGACTTTCGATGTCGAAAAAACAACTTTTAGCAAAGTCTGTGCGGAAAATTCGATAGACAAATCGACGCAGGTGACTTTGGAGGATACGAAATCGAATTTGAATAGTAATAATAGTAAAGTTAATAGCAGTTGTGGGGATTTGAGTCTGAATGGGCAATGGGCCCCATCGAGCCCGACGGCGGGCGCCACTGCTCCGACGGTGTTATATCAAGGTAAATGATTTATTTTTACTTATTAACATAAAAAGTATCAAAAATAATCATTAGCACCCAATTTGTCTTTTGGCAAGTTACAAGGCCAGCTTTAATTGCATATAAGTGCATGCATTATAAATGCAATTTATGGTACAATATAAATGCTTGACGTATATATATATATATATATATATATATATATATATATATATATATATATATATATATATATATATGTATATATATGTATATATATATATATATATATATAAATATATATAAATTAAAAAAAAACACAAACCTTTGTGTAGACTGCATTCAACCTTTAGCAAGTTGCTCCATCTGTTCGAAGCAAGTACTGACCAATTTAGATTCTGTAATAAAAATATGAAAATTTAAAAGTTTATACAATAATTAGCAGCAAAAATGCATAAATTATTAATTAATATAAATTAGTCATAACTAATTTCTAAAAATTATTATTTTCCAATAAAACTTGTTGAAGTTATGCATTAAAATTGATGGCAAGTAGTTGGGAGCAACTAGTAGGCATAGGGTTAATTATACTAAAAAAGTTGAAAATTTAATTGTTGATAGTAAAATTCTTTACATATTCATATATAGCAATATTTAGTTATTGTAAATTTCAGCAAATGACTTAATTTTAATAATAATTGTTAAAGTTATGGAATAAAAATTATGGAAACTAGTTTCGTGCAACTAGTACGCTTACAGGAATTTATTCCAAAAACACTAGAAAATTATTCGTTAATAATAAAAACATTTTTTAATAATTTAGTAACAATATTATGTGATAACAAATCCCCAAAAATTAAATTAATTTTATTAATCCCTATAAAAGTTATGACATAAAAATGATGGAAACTAGTTTAGTGCAACTGGTACGTCTAGATGATTTTTTGCTACAAAAATTAAAAATTTAATTGTTAATATTAAAAGAACTCATACATTATTTAATATCAATATCTAGCCATGATAAATTCCTTAAAACAAATTATTTTTATGAACAATTACATAAGTTTTGGAATAAAACTTAAGGAAACTAGTTTGGTGCCTCTAATACGCCTGGAACTGTTCATGCTCAAAAATTAAACATAAAATTGTTAATAACAGAAAATGGTTTAGCATTATTCAACAGCAATATTTAGTGTTGAAAAATCTTTAAAAATAAATGATTTTTAATAACAATTATGAAAATTATATAATCAAAATAAAGAAATCTAGTTTTGTGCTACTAATGTTCAACAAAGTTTGTTATACTTAAAAAATTAAAAATTAAATTGTTGTTAACAAAAATATTTGTTCATAAATAAAATATAATATTTATCTAAACTAAATTCGTGTAAATAAATTGATTTTAATAATAATTATGAAAGTTATAGAATGCAAATGATCAAAACTGATTTGGAGCACCAGCACGCTTAAAGTTTTTTATGGTGAATAAGTTCAAAATTTAATTGTTAATAATAAAAATTGTTGTTTATAATTTAATAATAATTCCTTGCAAATACATGAATATTAATAACTTTTAAGAAAGTTATAGAATAAAATTTGCAAAAACTGATTTAGTGCAACTGGTGCGCATAAAGTTACTTATGCCAAAAAATTAAAAAAAATAATATTTAATAATGAAGATAATTGTGCAAAATTTAATAACAATATGCATAGAATATAAATTCTTGCAAATAAATTAATTTTAATAATTTTTAAGGAAGCAATGGAATAAAACTTGCAAAAACTGATTTAGTGCAACCGGTGCGCATAAAGTTACTTATGCCAAAAAATTAAAAAAAATAATATTTAATAATGAAAATAATAGTGAAAAATTTAATAACAATATGTATATAATATAAATCCTTGTTAATAAATTCATTTTAATAACAATTATGGAAGTTGTGGAATAAAACTTGCACAAACTGATTTAGTGCATCTAGTGGGCATAAAGCTTTTTACGCCAAAACATATGAAAAATCAATATTTATTCATAAAAATAATTATGCATAATTTAGTAACAATATGAATAGATTATAAATCTTTGCAAATAAATTAATTTTAACAACTTTTAAGAAAGTTATAAAAAAAATTGCAAAAACTAATTTAGTGCAACTAGTAGTCATGAAGCTTTAATTAATTAAAATTTTAAAAAATTAAAAATTTATTTGTTAATAATGAAAATATGTATTCAAAACTTAGTAATAATATTTAAGAATAAAAAATTCATTTGAATAAATTAATTTTAATAGTAATTATGATAAAAATAAAATAAAAATTACAGAATCTAGTTCAGTGGGCATAAAGATTTGGATTCTAAACATTAAATACTGAATTGTTAATAACACAAAATATTTATACGTTATTTAATAACTATTAATAACTATTTTGAATGTAGAAGATTTATAAAAATAAATTAATTTTAATCAAATTTCTAATAGTTATAAAATAAAATTATCAAGGCCTTGAGTAATGAGATTCCAAATTGTTTTCAAAGTATATACATAAATGTTTTATTAGAATTTTTAATAGAATATTGGAGAATTTTAATAAATATTACCAAAAAAAAATAATTTATATTTTTAATATTTCATAAATTGATTTTCATAAATTTATTGTGTTATAATTTGATTTGGTTTTTGTTTAAAACAAATGCAAACTTGTATGTACGTCGATCATTGCAAAGTAAAATAAGTCCTAAATATTTATTATAAAAAAAATGGAGGGTATTTTTTTGGGTATAATTTTTTTTGCTTTAACTTATTTAAAAAACATTTTTAGAAGATTATAATATTATCTTGATCTAAGATAAAGATTGCAGAATTTTGTACAATGTTTGCTTCAACATACTTTAGTAGATAAATTTTTTATAGAAAGAGTAATTATATAAAATTCGTTCTTGTCAGACTACACTATATATATAATATATATATATATATATATATATATATATATATTATATACAATACATAATCTTTTTGTAGATGAGAATCTATAAGAAACCATGTAAGTGCTTTGCCCCTATGCAAGATATCTTATTTCAAATTGTATGTGTATATATTTGCATATATATATATATAATATATATATATATATATATATACATACAAATATATAATTACACAAAACAATATTATAATTTATATCATATCTAAATACTTTTATATTAATATACAAACTTAAAGCATCATTAATATATTTACCAAATGTAAGTAAGTATATTTATCATTTACAATTATGCTACGAAAATTTTATATGAGACAAGTTTGTACAAAATTTTATCAGCTTTAACTTATGTGAAGACAGTATTAAGCTATAGATCACAGTTGACTCATGTGAGAAGACAGACATTTTTTTCACATTTTTGTATATAACTTAAAAACTAGTTATCGTAGCTTAGATATGTCTTTAGGGGAACTGAAGCTCATAAAATTCTGTACATTTTTGTCATACAACATATATTTTCAAAAATAAAATTCATTACTAAAAATTGCGTGTGAAAGTACAAGTTGGTCAAATAATTTATTTACTTGTTATTCGTGCTTTCGACTATAATTTTATGACATTTACAATCACTGTACAACAATATGTTGTAAAACAAAATTCTACAGAATTTTATCAGTTTTAATTTACCTAAAAATAGTATCAAGCTATAATAATTAACTTTAAAATTAAATCGAACTAAAAAAATGTCCCTTTCCTTTACCGCCTATGTTTATCTACCAAATGCCCTACAAGTGTTCTGTCCTCCACAACAAGTGAAATAAGATACTAGAAAAAGTATAGGGAAACATATAAAGGGAATAAAAACATGAAAAGTAGGGTGAAATGAGCTCAAGAAGGGTTTCTTCTTCCACTTCGCCTCTATTAGGGTTTTAAAGTGTACGAGAATCCCTATCGAGACTTTTAAGAGGGAAGAATCGCTATTAGGGCTGTAACGATGGACCCTTATTTGCAAACGCGATTTTGGTCAATGAAATTTGGATTTAGGTAAATAATATATAAGATGGAAATGTGCAGAATTGTATAAGGTTTGATTTATCCAAAGACAGTATTAAGCTGCAGTAATTAGATTTTGAATTATAACTAAAAACGTAAAAAATTGTCCCACAATAAATCCTTACCGTAAGTCAACTATGTACTCTAGTAAATGGAGTATATTTTTTTTACTTTCAGCACTATAACTCAAAAACTAATTATTTTTTCTGGATACAGTATTTTAATAGATTAAAGCTAATAAAATCCTGCACAATATTGCCTTATAAACTATTTATCTACAATAAATAGAAATTTTTTTAAATTTTAGTTAAAATATTTTTTTAATCCAATATGTGTTTCAAACGCAATTTTGAATAATGAAATTTAATTTTGCATAAATATGCTGGAAGACAAATATAAGCAGAATTTTATAAGCTTTAATTTTATAAGCCGAAGACACAATTAAACTACAATTACTAGTTTTTAAGTTATAACCAAAAACCTGAAAAAATATCCCACGATAAATCTCTACCGTAAGTCAACTATGTACTCTAGTAAATGGAGTACATTTTTTTTAGTTTCGGCACTCTAACTCAAAAACTAATTAATATAACTCAATACAGTCTTCTGATAAATTAAAGCTTATACAAGCCTGCACAATTTTGTTTTCCAACATATTTTTATATAATAATAATAAAAGTCTTAAAAATTCAGTTAAATACAAATATTCAACTTACCTCAAGTACGGGCACATTTAGTCATACTGTACTTAATAATTTCTAAACTTATAATAAGTTTTGAAAATAGTGTAATAGAAATCTGTAAAACTTATGAAATTCTCTATGAAAATTGAAAAAGTTATTTCACTAAAATAAAATACTGTTACAAAGTTATAAAACCTAAAACAACTTGGTATAGTTATGGTTACATTTTTTTATATTATGCCTATAACTATTAAACTATAAATTATAAGTAAAAATAGTGTATAAAAACATGTAGCTGATAAAACTTTGTATAATTTTATCATACAAAAATTTTTGTGTTAGAACAATTTACTGAAAAAAAATCATCACAAAACAACGGTCATTTAAATGAGGAAATTCCATTTACTAACTTCTACCAATCAATATAAGGGTTGATCCACACACCCACACACACACAAATAAATCCTTTAATCCCATTAATCATTCAATTTGCCATATCTGGCTAATCGCTAATCGAAAAATATGACCAATCATATTTTCCTACGAAAAAACTAAATTGGAATTCGATTATGTTATCCAGATTTAGATTATATCATCTTTATATATATAGATACACCCCCCAAAAAACATATCTGGAGTTTTTTGCTAAGTCATTCGTATTTTTTAGACTTGTTTGCCACTTTTGTTAATGGATATGTGTAAGGGGGTGTGTGGAATAACCCCTTACTCTTATATTTTTTATTTGGAGCCTTTTAGTAAAACAATTCATAGAAATTTTTGGGTTAGGCTGACTTTGGGATGATTTTTGTGGCACTAAATTGTTCCAACACAAAAAGTAGTGTTTGACAAATTTGTAGCAAATGTTATTAGTGGAAGTTCCTAGTACACTACTTTTAGATACAGTTTATAGTTCAAGAATTTTAATGCAAAGTATAAAAAACAGTACCAATTTTTAAGTCTTCATTTGTTAAGTTACTGTTTATGTTATATGAAAAAATGTTAAATTTATTATTTATGAAAAAAAAATCTACCAAGACAAAAAAAATTGTAGTAGAAGTAAATCGTCTTAAGCGCGACTAGGAGTTAATTCACCAAAAAAATTTCATTAGAACGAAAATGCGTTACCCAAAAAATACTGATTCGTCATTGGCCAGCGATGAGGTCATTCGAAGCGAGTTGATGTGATTGGTCGAAATCGGCTTGTCATGTGATATCTTTAACTCTACACTCGCAATCTTGTGGATTACGAAAGTCAAAAAAACAATGTTTTAGAGGTTATGTCGTCGAAATCTAGATTTATGAAAAATCAAAACCATAATACGTCGTCACTTGCAAAAAAAAGGTAATAAAAAACAAATCAAACGTCTAATATATATATATATATATATATATATATATATATATATATAAATGTGTGTGTCGGTGTTGTTTTTCTGAAAGTGTATTTTAGCTGGTAAAGAGTACATCTCTCTCTTCTACAAAGTAAAGTAGTTTATATGCAAATGACGAGCAATTTGAATTTCTTCAACTTTTCAAAGTGCTAATAAAAACAATGTGCATTACGCTTTGTTCTTTATCGTTAGCACTTTGATATCTTTATATATATATATATATATAATATATTATATATATATATATATATATATATATATATATATATATATATATATAAACATCTCCCACAACATTTGCAAAGCAACTTATAGTATCAAACCAAGCATTCTTTACAAAATAATATGCCATTATCTAGCGTCTTTATGAGTTTACCGAGTTGCTGTAAAGCATTATTATGTTAGACAATAATATATATTGTTTAATTTTGTACAAACTTTCCGAAAACATCATTTAAATTAATCGAATAGTTTGAAAGTTTCAAGAGATATAATAACCAAACCTTCTTTTCCAGGCTACACCCACGATCCATCATCCACAGTATACGCAGCCTACACTCCAGGAACGCATATAATCGAAAATTCTACATCAAATTTCGATCAACCCGTCTACACCACTTTGGAAACACCAAATGCAACATCAAAGCGTCGATTGAGTAACCCCATCGAAAGCAACACCACAAAAAGAAAGAAATTCGGTACCAAAGACGACGAGGAAGCACCAGAAAAACGTTTTAGAACAGAAGATGAACATAGGACAGTTATCACTTTTCAAATACCACAAGATGATAAAGTAAGTGATGGTAAAATCAAGGAGGATGGCTACCAAAAACTTTGGCAAAGACCTAGTCAACCTAAATCTTTGGCCATGTGCTTTACGAGCACAGGAGCTGCTTTATCTTTACCACCTAAGAAGAAAGACATCTACAGACCGTACTCCTTAGAAGACAAACCTTGTAGTAAAATCAGAGTGCCAGCTGAAGAAGACCTGCACGCTGCCCACGCCATCCTAGACCTAAGTGCTTCACCAGTCTTCAACTTAAATCCACCAAACTTCACGCACCAAGTGATAAACATACCACCTCCAACGGAATACCACGATGGTGCAAGAAATCTTCAAATTTTAGAAGACTACGAAACAGAAGCCAGGAACTACATGGTGACGTCACCGGATCTGATAAATTACCAAGACAGGACAAATGAGATTCGTGTTGCGGTCGAAGATGAGTCCAGGAAGGACGTGCCAAGATCAGAAGACGCGAAACATGTTGATTTGAACGAGTTCAAGACTGGTAAAACAGTTGCGTATACGTACGAAGCTTTCTTTGTCAGCGATGGACGTTCTAAACGTGCCAGGGAGAAAGCTGATCAAAAACCTGACAACAGGTATAGTAAAACTCATATGTGCTAGTGCTGAAATCTAAAACCAAGTATAACACATCAATTTTTTCTCAGGGGTAAGTATTCCTGTTCCGATTGTGGCAAGCAGTACGCGACATCCAGCAACTTGTCCAGGCACAAACAAACGCACAGATCCTTGGATTCGCAGTTGGCCAGGAAATGCGAATCATGCGGTAAGGCCTACGTTTCCATGGCAGCCTTGGCTATGCATCAGCTTACTCATCGTCTGGCACACAGATGTCGACTGTGCGGAAAATTGTTCTCCAGACCTTGGTTACTGCAAGGACACTTGAGGTAAAAGACCAGCAAAACTGTTTATCCCACAAACAGAATAAAATATGTTATTTATACCATGTTGTTTCTTCCTCAGGTCTCATACTGGTGAAAAACCTTACGGTTGTGCCCACTGCGGCAAGGCATTTGCAGACAGATCCAATCTCCGAGCACACATGCAGACGCACAATGCTGATAAAAAACACGAGTGCACCAGATGTGGTAAGTTGTTCGCCTTGAAATCTTACCTGAACAAACATCTAGAAGCCAGTTGCACATCATCGCCAGATAAAACAGTACAAGACTCTGCCAAAGTCCAGAACATCGGACAAGATTCTAATCAGTCTGATCACATTGATCAACAATTTGATTATCAAGGTATGAAATATGATGCGAGTAGACAATTTGGACATCATAATAAAGAAGAAGATGTTGTCAGGCCGGGATTTTATCAGGAAAGTGGTAATTGTTATGTGGATGGTGGTAAAAGTGAGTTTAGGGAGGTGACGACCAAGGTGCAGATGGTAAACTAAAGCATTAACTAAATGACGTTTGAACTTAAAATATTTCGTTTGTTCAAAACCGGGTCTGAAACTCAATTCGTCAAAGCCAGGAAGTAATTATTTATAATCTAATTCTTTGATTACAAATGCTTCAAATATAAATGAGTATCAGAACAATCAGATCTTAAGACAACAAAATTAATATTCTCTTGTGTATCTTTCAAAATAACCAAGCAATAACTACCAAGACATCTACTTCATAAATATTCACAAAAAAATCAGCGAAACTTAAAAAAATACTCATTGATGTAACTTCTAGCAACAAAACCTACCAACAATTTTTCTGGATTATTACAAACGATAAATATTTTCTCAACTGGAAGACATTGATAAAGGCTTGCAAACAACCAAATGCAAACTTGTAAATTCAAACCAAGATCCAATTTTTATCACCAATTTACTCCAAGTATGAAAAACATCAATTCTTAACCAGAAAAATCTGATGTTTTATGTGCAACTACTAAAATCTTTCTAAATTATGCTATCTAACTGGTAAATTCTTCAAGACAAAGCTTATATTCTTTGACCAGAAGTGCAATTGTCCTAAAACAGAGTGTGTTTCTCAAACAAGACATCTAAATTTCAATCAAGTGCTACTAAATAAATAAAATAAAGTGTCTACTAAAATTTTCACCTGGTGTCCAATCTTGGAAGCCGAATACTCAGACCAAAAATGGTGCCCAGTTAGTGTCAACAAGTCAAGACTTCACACGCCCCCAAAAAGGTATAACTTGAAACTCCAATGCTCGTCCAAAGATGAAAACCAAAATTGTTGAAACTTGTTATAAAATTTTTTTATCCAAAAAATCGAAGTAACGTATTTTGTAAACAAAATGTTGTATTTTTGAACCCAACATGTTCCAAAGATATTTTTAAATCGGATTACGTTTTTGGTAATTTTATTTTTGTTAATAAATAAGTCACAAATGTCCCGATTAAAATATAAAGTATCTAGTCTTATGAAAAATATAGTCCTTATATATAAATATATAGCGTTAAGTATTAAAACAGACTTGAAAAATAGCAAAAAGTCCAAAATAAATATAAATTTTCAACAACGCTTACCATATTGTCCGAACCTAACACCACAAGTTTTCTTACAAACTGGCTTAGGCTTCGTTACACATGGTAAGCGTTACGATAATTTTTTTTAGCGATATAACAAATGACTACGACTTATTAAAAAAATCGTTATATTATTAAAATGATAAGTATTAACTATTTAAAATAAGATATATATTTAGATAAGATAAATATTATACACCAAAAAATATAAATATAGGTCTAAACCATAACCTACACCGTAAGATAGTATTAAACAGTATTTTAGCATTAAGACTTCATTTAGTGTAATAAAAAAATTGTGTTTGCTTCGCCAAAACTAAAAAACAAACGCTACACAATATTTTTTCACTGATGAATGTCGTCGGAACGTAGTCAGCTAGGAATTTTGTCTAGTCAACAGAACATTAATCTTAAGGCTTCGTAGATAAGATTTTTTATTTTTAGTTTGAAAAAATAACGTGTGCCCCGAAAACGTCCAAAAAATTGTAAGAATTTAGAATTTGGAATTTTTTGTTGAGAGCAAAACGTGCGTATATATTATATTGATAAAGCTTAGTGTAAGAGGATAAGCTTGCTCTCTTATCTTAATCGAAATAAGAAATATGAAATTTTAGACAAAACATAACAAGCATAACAAATTTAGCCCGTACACGCTTTTCATAAGATAAAGTTTCTTCGATCCTACTCTTGCTATCTTATTTTAATACTCCCAGTAAACACCAAGCGGCGGTTGCAATCTGAAATCCACATAGATTTCACATGGATATCACAGCGCTTGTGGATTTCAGATCGCTACCGCCGCTCAAACTACACGGTGTTTATATTTGTCTCTGAATTGAGATCTTATTGTCAAACTAATGAAGTAAGTTGTCTCATTACTTGCTTGAAGATAATCTTCGTTTCTTTTATCTTTCGATAAGATTTATTTTATTTTACTATTGCTCAACTTATTCTACTAATCCCTTGACGGAAGACGAGATAAATTAAGGCTTTTTATTAAGACTTGACTGTTTTGGAACTAACAAATTAACATGCCATATTACTCGCTTAAAGACAAGTTTTCTGTCATCTTAAGATAAGATTTATTTCACTATTCCATCTCTTATTATAAGACGAGATAAATTTTATTTCTGAGAACTGATTGTGGTGGAAATAATAAATTAAGTTGTCAGAATACTCTTTTAAAGAAAAGTTGTTTTCAACTAAGATACATTTTATTTGATACTCTTATCTTTAATACTCGCTTATAATAAGATAAAAGCTTCTGATTTTACGTTTATACTATTTTTTGAATACTCGCTTATCATAAGATGTTAAGTTTTCTTCGTATCGTAGATAAAGTAAACGTAGGTACACACTTTTCTTTTCATTTTTATTTCTTTTTATTTTTTATTTTTTGGTATTCATATATTTATTGTCAATCAAAGTATACAACGTCATTACATAGATGTATGACATAATATCTTATCTTATCACTCGCTTATCTTAAGATAACTTTTCTCTGATTTCACTCTCATTGTCTTGACAAATACTTGCTTATCGTGAAATGAGATAAGTTTCCTTGTTTTTGTAAATAATTGATTGAAGCATCATAATATAAACGACATTGATAGTACAATTTTATATCTTATCTTATCTTAACACTTGGTAAGATAAGTTTACATTATCTAAAAAATACTTGATTATCAAAAGGTGAGACTGGTTTTCTTCATCCTATGACGCATCATATGGTGCAAATCAATATTATAACCTTCTAATCTTATCAGTAGCTTATATTAAGAAAAGGTTTTTTTCAAAGTGTAGGTAATTATTTTATTTTTACCTTTTTATCTTATTACTAACCTACCTTAAGTCGATAAGATTGACAATAACTCTTATCATATTTGAGATAGTACAACTCGACGTTTTGATTTAAAAGTTCAAAAAGATATGTAACAACCATACTTTTATTATCTTATATTATGATAAGATAAGCGAGCAAGCTTATCCGACAAGTGTAGATTTAAATAAAAAATATTAGAACCGTCCCATAAAAACAACAGTTAGATTTAATATAAAACGTGCAAACGATCTGAAGTTGAAGATAGTTCTTGTTAAATGATCGTTTTTGCAAAAACAATTCAGGATAAAAAAAGATACCTATATCCAAAACAATTTAATTCCTGACACGTTTCTGAAATATCTTAAAGACCATCATCAAGATAATTAAAATACAATGCAAAGAATTGATTTTTTATATGAAACCCTAAGAAATTCTGTCAAGTCTCTAATTTAATATTTTTTACCTTTTCCACCCGGATGCCACCATATAAATCTCAAAATTCACGAGTGCAAAGGGTTAAAAAACATTCTATTTATCGAGGTAGAAAAAATTGCAAGAATGATCGTGTTAGCATAAACTATTTTCTATATTTTATAATAAGACAGTAGCCAATAGTAGTGTAGATAGATAACGTTTAGCTTATAAGATAATAAGTAATATATTTTTAGATCTCCTGAAAACACTTCAGAAACATTCCACCGATTAAAAAATTAGTAATTTAATTAAATATAATTATTATTATTAGATTAAAAATTTTACTCGTGGTCATAATACAAAAAATTTGGACAAAAATAGTAAACGTTTACCATGTTGCCCGAACCTAACTTGATGCTTTTCCATACAATTTTACTGAGGCTCGGATATACATGGTCAGCGTTATGGATGCTTTTTAATGCAAAAATTTGTTAAATTTAAATATACAAACATTTACTTTAAAATAAAAAATGAACCACATAATCAGTTTTGAAATATCAAAGACGTTCCAAATAATTTTAATTAAAACGTTGTTAGAATTTTTATAGAACGTGCTAATACAATCTTGTTTGCAAGATAATTTTGTCAAGTTTTTATTAGTTTAAACAAATTATTTATTAACACCGAAAACCAAAAAAGTGTCATTTATTAACATCCAAATTCAAAAGTTATTTTACAAAAACCAAAAATATTTACCACCAATTTTGACCACGAGCAATGAGTTAAAGAAAGAAAACTTACTTAGTTTTATTTTTATATTTTATACTTAAAAACTTATTTATTTATTTAATAAAAATTAAAATCATTTATTAAAATATTAAAAAAAAAATTATTTAACTAGTCACATAATTATAAACCAAATTTTATTTATTAAAAACCAAAACTAGTCCCATATTTATAAAACCAATTTTATTATGCAAACAAACTAGTCACTTAATTCAAAATACTAAAAATTTAATATTTAATTAATTAATTTATTTACTACATTAATTTTAAACAAATTAATTTAAATTTCATGATTCTGATACAACTAACTTTGAGAACCTGTGCACATGCACGCGTATTCTCAAACCGTGGGTACTTAAATATAATAATTTATAGAATATTAAAGAAAATAATGTAGTATAAAATATATTTTAAAATAATTTATTATATATTATTTATAATATTTATTAAAAAATGGAAGAGGGTGCAATCTAGTCACTTTAGATTTAAATATTAAATTTAACAATTTAATATACAAAATAAATTATTAGTTTATAATTTTTTAAGCAGAGGGGATAGGAGTGCAATAAACAAATAGATGTAAATAAATAAATAATAAGCATTTGCATTTATATTTATAAAATTAATAATTTTTTTTTTTAATTTAATTTTTATGTACAGCTAGTCAATATATAAATATATAAAATAATATAAAACAGTATTTATAAAACAATATTATTAATAAAAACGAAAGAGTGTGATATCTAGTCAAAAATTATAATATAAAACAAAAATCTTATGATTTTTAAACGTATATAATATATTAATATATAAATAAAATTATAAATATTACTTATAAATATATTACCATGCATAATTTTAACAGAACGTCATTTTTAAACCC